GGCGAGCAGCGTGGATGCATGAAGGAGGCCTGCGAAGATGAAGATGTACAGCCGGTCCACGTATTTCACCAGCCAGCCGGAGAGGAAGGAGCAGCTGGAATTGGCTGCGTGGAAGCAGGCCATCATGTATCCGATGTACCTGATTCCCCATGCGCATCCCACGAAATCCTGCCGGAATCCAGTTCCCTTTCAGGTATCCGTTTTGCCTCTCCTGCAATGCGAATCCAATCTCTCTTACCTTTGTGTAGTCGGAAGTGATGAAACCTTGCTCTACCCCACCGAAGAATATTGCCAGGGATAAGAGAGCCTGATAGGGTTGCTTGAATTGCATGATGGTAGACATTGCTATGGTGAAAATTTCACGGATTTTTGGTTTGGAATCATCTTTCTCTTCTTCTGTCCTGTCAATCAAAAACTATTGCCCGGATCGAAACATCTTTGAATAATTGTTGCCCTATCTCATTTTGGTAGGTTGACAAAAATTACGGCAAGGAGATGCAATAATATTATAGGCTGCAAAATCCAAACCAGAAAACAAAATACACGAGTAATAGAAAGAAAGGAAAACAGAAAAGGGACCGTAGAGTAGCTTGCTCCTCCAACAATAAAAACAATTGATCAACATTTAGCAAGTCAACCGCAACTGCTGCCCTCCAGTGACTTCATATTATTCTCTCCATCGACATGTCTCAGAAAATATAAAGTTTAGCGCATTTGCTCCCAAGCCACTCCACATACGCTACTTATAGCACTGTCGGTGCTCACACAAAGTAAGTAGCTTCCCAAATATTTTGTGGAACATATAACGTTTTCATAGCAGTACTCAGAATCAAATAGCACTAAACCCGGCACCTTTGGAGGGGATCAAGGAAGAAAGCAACGAGAGCAGCAGCGATAAGCGGCATGGACATCGCTATCCCCGATATGATATGGATGGCCTGCTCGTTCGGTCTCGCCAGGTTTTCGTTCCTCCCCACTTCTTCCTCGCAAAAATTCACTCCACAGCGGGAAACGTCCTCTTCCACTTCTTGAGTATAATTCTGCTTTTCGTTCGATCCCCACGTGACCAGACCTTGTCAGAGAGGAAAAAGCATGCTTCTCAGTGGAGGATGGACGTCGGAGACGACGACGGACGAACTCACCCACAGAAGAGATGACGTTCCCAAGAACGCCAGCCACCTGGAAGAGCATGAAAAAGACTCCAAAGAACCTGGTGATGACGACCCCCTTTTCCTCTCGCGACAGTTCAGCGTAGGCATTTCCAGCAACGGTCAAGTAGGTGCACTTCGCAGACCACAACGGAGCAGCCGCCATACCGATGACCACAGCCGACGGTATCAGCGTCCACGCGGTGGGATAGAACTGCGCTCCCATATACGGCACGTAGAGAAGGCAACAGAGGAAGATGGTCCATTTCGGGGAGAGGGTCTTGAGGGAGACGGTGGTGAGGAAGAGGGAGGACAGAACGAGTCCCGTATAGAGGACGGAGAGGGACGTCGTCCCCAGACCATGCTCGGCGTTGATGGTGCTTTGCAAGTTCCCCACCGTGCTGTAACTGAAGAACAGGAGGACGAAGGAGAAACTGATGATGAGATTGTTTTTCCAAATCCTCCGCTTCTCCTTCCTCGCCTCCATCGTGCGTCTGGCTTCTCTATCGAACAGGGAGCGAAACGTGACATCGCTGTTGGACGAATCAGAAGAAGGTGACAATATAGCTATATGCAAGTTCGCAGTAGATTGTGAAGCTCCCGCTGAAAATATCTTTGGAGGGATATGCCTTGCCCTATACGCAAGCAGTCCGCGATGGGGAAGGGAAAGGGAGAAAGCTTGACCTAGATTCGAATGTCGATGTGGGCTAACACGATTCGCAAGTCAATCCGAACCTTGAATCTCGAATAGGATTATGAAAACAGGAAAAATAAAAGATATGTGAACGCGTGGATGCCAGAATGCTGCACTCCATCCATTCGCCTGGCGGCTAACTGAGGCAACGGGAGCAGAATCAGTCGACAGAGCTGCGACCCGGAAGCACGCACATGCATGGGATAAGCATGGGATAAGCATGGGATATGCATGGGACCTTCAATACACGCGAGGCAGCTCTCATCCGACTCCGTGCGAGAGATCGGTCTCCCATCTCTGGTTATCACAGAGGACTTTGGAACCGCACGATCCCTGCGATCCCGACCGCTCAAGAGCCACCAGCGACGCCGACCTTGACCCGGTTAGACGCCTCGCACTGCACCGAGTCGCTCCCACGCCACGTGCAGAGGCCGGGAATGCCCAATGCATTCCGAGTGCATTGGGCATTCGGAATCGGGCATTGGGCAACCTGTGGGAGGTCCGGTTCCTCCGCACGAGATCGGCTCAACCGGTTCTAATACCCTCGACCACATTTTTCCGCCGTGAACAGCCTGTTAAAATTCAAATAGGATGTCCAGCTTCGGCCTCGGAACGATCCTCCGCTGTCTTCTCCCGACGCCGATTTCCACGCTGACGCCACCGATCGCACTAACCGTTGTACCGCATTCGAATGCACTCAGCTTATCTCTGAATGCTTTAGAGATTGCATCGTGGAAGGGACTTGGCCGAGTGCCATCATGCCATCATGACGTCATGATGGCACGACGTCATGTCATTTCACACGAACTAACGAAATTTTTGAATGTTTGATCTCATGAACCTGACTTAACCTGTTGAGGACTAAGTTGTTTTTGGGGGTGCATTTAAGGGGAAGGTTACTCGTAATTTGTTAGACAGGTGCATGGACAAAGGTCACGTGGTCGAGTGCAAATAACCCCCCGAATACGACAAGCCAAATCAATACTTGAAGAAATTAACGCCCGAAGTTTGAAACCATGCACATGAGGTCGTAGTCCTTCACATATTAAAGGACAAGAGTTAGTTCCATCTCAAGGTCGAGGGGGAAGAAACGCCATTAGAGAATTCGCGAAAGCCCAAGGGCATGAACGATGTTCATTTAAGACGTTGATTATCGATGGTCGTTGTTTAAGCGTTGTCGACGACGGTTAACCGCTTCCCGAGCCGCGTTCCCACGGCCGACGGTGAGGCAGAAGAATTCGCTTTTGCTGAGAAGTCGGAGGGAAAAAAAAACAGGCGCGTTATTTGTGCGTAGTGATGTGCGTGAATCGGGGGCGTGGAGGTGTGACGGCCGTCGATGGGTATTTCCCGGAAATCGGCAGGCTTTCGTCGCGTATTTCTTCACCTTCGAGTCGCATTAATTAACTAATTAACTAATCAACTACTCGCGATGGGCGCGTGAACAAACAGCGAAACCCATAAACTCTAATCGCTCTTCCCCGTCGCGACGCGAAATTGGAATGAGACCGTTTCCAGCTTCTGTTAGCCGTTGGTTAGACAGTGATTAAAGTAAGAAAGCGTTTTTTTTTAAGCGTTAAGCGTTTTTTGGCCTTCGACATCGGTCAACCGATGATTTTCCAAAAGCAAAGGGAAAACGTCGTTCATGCAATCGGCCCTAAGCTTCCTGTCACGAGGAATCTCTCAGCTTCCTGTCACGGGGAATTCCACATCTGCGAGCCTGCGGCGGTTCGAAATCAGTTGTCTCAAGTAAATCTGCCTCGTCACCGAGTAATTCCTCCGTTGTTTGCGCCCCATGCAGCTCATCTACCTCGGGGCATCCGGAAGACACAAGGGCACAATCGGCACACAAGGGTACAATCGGCACAATTGGCAAACAGAGCTCCTAATGTACCCGGATGACTTGCATCTCGCGGGAACCCGATATTTCCAGTCGCAAAAAAAAAAAACCGGCTCGTCGTCTCCCGGAAGACCGAAGTGACGAAGTCGCGGTCGGAGACAGACCGACCGCAGAACGCGCAAATTAGGAGGAAAAACCATATGGACCCCATTCGCGGTATGAGAAACCTCGAAGAACCTCGAAGAACCTCGAAAAACCTCGAAGAACCTCGAAGAGTCCTCCTCTTCTCCCTTCATTTGACATTGAAACTCGCCCTACGGCCATCCACGCCATTGAAATCCGCTGGGAAAGAACTCGAGCCAACTTGGCGACCAACATGTAATATATATATGCGTAAAAATATGTAATATATATATGCGTAAAAATATGTAATATATACATATGCGTTAAAATATGTAATATACACACGGTAAAAGTATGTAATATACACATGCTAAAAATATGTCAAGTTCACTGAAACGTGTCCTTCCACTTCAAGGACTTGTCCTTTTTTTATAATTTGAAGTCCTTTCCCGCCGTTCCACTACATCGGCCCAGCTATGGGAAAAAATGGCAGAAGCGGAAATTCGCCCTCCGCGACATCCTCATTTTCAAACACGGAATTTGACGGGAAAAAAAAGACCTTACTGGCCAGAATTCGACAAACGAGAAACCATTCCGAGAAAATGGATCCGACAACTGCCTCGGAAATCCCGTCAAGTCACGTTTGCGAGGTTGCCGACGTGTTAGAGGCTCCATGCAAACTTGGAGCAATAAAAAGTTCACAGAACTTCAGTCCGAAATTTTTTTAAATTAAAATTTATTTTTTTGGTCTTGCTGATTTTCTCCTGAGTACGTTAATACGAATATGTGGACGTATTTGCAGCGCATTTCAGCCGTAAGAAAAAAGAAAAACCAGTTCCCTAGGCCGAATTGTAGGAAATGATGCATATGATGCATATTTGACAGCCTAGGATTAAAAGACGCGAGAATTTGGAACAGCATTTTTACACTTACCACATGGGGACATTTCCGCATCCGTTCTGATTGCTCGGAGAGTCTTGCCCCAAATAACATATATTATTAGAGATATTAGAGACAGCCAGAGAGAAGCGTAAGTGATATTTGAATGGTAAAATGCCGACATTGCGGTATTTATCCGCGGTAAAGACAAGTTTGCGGCAATGTTAAGACATTTCCTTTCGAGCGGAAAGGCAAAAAAAAAAAGAAAACAAAAAAGTTGTTAAAAAATATTTATTGGAAAAATAAAATCGGGGGGTCCTGGTCATCTGATTCCTCGTCGCAATTGACAATGGACATGCTAGACTCCCAAATCATATAAAGATTTTACAATTTATAAAGATCGCCAGAAGGTGAAGGCATGTCAAGAAAAGATTCCTCCAATGGATTGCCTCCTGAACGGACAAGAAACGGACTTGGAAGGCATTGGATTGTGCCTACTTATCAATTGTGCTCGTAGCGGCCTTCAGGGGATTTTCCTCGACTTTCGTTTCTCGAGAGCTTTTTGCCTCGATGTATTCCAAAATGAAGTAGGCGATCATGCCAAGAACGAGGAAGGCGACGAGGAGGCTGAGTTTGTACACTGTGCAGAGTCGACTGCTGATGAAAAACGCGACGACGAAGCCGAGACTTTCCGTCACTTTGTAGGCGCTGAATGCTTCTTTCTCCTTCCCTTTCGACAACACGCCCAAGAGCCCTGTTAGAGATCGCACGACCCGATGGAATTCTGCTTCGAGCGTTGCTTCACAAAGCGGAATGCGGATGGAGCGACTCACCGTTGACCTGAGCCTGCCAGACGGCATCGCAGATGCCCCAAGCACCGGCGACGACGAAGAACGCCCAAGCATGGTCGGGCGAAGGATGCCAGAAGAACAAGGCGAGCAGCGTGGATGCATGAAGGAGGCCTGCGAAGATGAAGATGTACAGCCGGTCCACGTATTTCACCAGCCAGCCGGAGAGGAAGGAGCAGCTGGAATTGGCTGCGTGGAAGCAGGCCATCATGTATCCGATGTACCTGATTCCCCATGCGCATCCCACGAAATCCTGCCGTTCCGAAAACATAGATACCAGCAATTGATGAACAATCGAACATTCAAATTAGGGCTGTCAATAGATTAACAAATTTTATTTATTAATCGGTCGATTAATCGAATTTTAATCATGATTGGGAATGATACTATTTGTGTCATGCCCAACATCAAGGCGATGCAGTCGCTAACATACAGTAGCAGTCATTATCCATACATACACTAGTTCACCCTACATGTGAAACATTCCAATCTGAAAGAAAATAGTTACAATTTGGGCAGGTAAATAATGAAAAGTAAGCAAAGAAGCGCACTGAGGCCCTTTTGCCATTCAGCCATCCCATTACGGAAGGATACAAAAATGTCACCTAAATCATTGGACGTATTCAGTGAAACTTCATTAGGCGAAGATTTAATGATTCATTAACGGCAGCACAGGATAGAAGAGCAAATATAAGAGGAATTGGAGAGGGTTTCACACTTTCGTTTCTCAATTCTGCCGCCTGGCCCCGGCTTTCTTCCTCTCGGTTACTCTCCGGGGACTCCCACAGACCTTGTATGATACATTTCTTTCGCTCCCCTGTCTTTACATTATCCGCTTTACTGTGTCTCCTGTCCCATGTTCCTGCCCAATTCCCATTCATACTTCTGTGCTTTCCCTTCATCACGACTTTCTTTTCCCCATTCGCATCCAGTCACTTTTCGGTCGGTTTTCCTAAAGCCGCTGCTACATTAGTTTGACGGCAGTGTCGGGCGGTAACGAAGTAAGAGTAACGGGTTACAGTAACTGATTACTTCTTTCAGTAACTTTTTTGGTGACGAGTTACTTTTCAGGGGAAATAACGTAACTGGAAACTAGTTCCTTTTTCATAGGAAAAGTATGTGGTGTTATTGCAACGCGTTTCCTTTTCTTGATTTCAACCAAATTAGTTAATTTTGTTGCATCCTAATCCTAATTGATGCATTCCAATTGATGCAAAATTGGGAGGAAAGGCGGGGACATGAAATTACCTTGAGAAACCATGGTTTTCAGAGCAGGTTTCTTGGCCCTACCTGCAAAAATATTTTTACGTGCAAGAGGTTAGGAACGAAGTCAAGAGTTCCATCGATGCAATGGCGTATTTATGGGGGGGGGGGGGCAGCCGCACCCCCTGGAGCCCCTGGGATATAGCCTCTGCCCCCCCTCCCCCCCCCCCCGACCCTTTAGAGAAAATACACCGCTGCATCGATGCAAACTAATGTGTGAAGTGCTCTCTGACTGATGGCCAAGGTACTTTCTGCCACGCGAACGTCAGCATCTAACTTGAGAAAAAACTCTAGATGAGCTCCATCGTGTCCTGGACTTCAAACAGACAACCTTTGGTCTAAGGTTATGTATGAATTATCAGCATATAATTCCTGTTAAGTAGCCCACGGGAAGGAAAGCGGCGCAGGGAAGACAGTGAGCATGAGTTCAGTGATGATCACAATTCAATTTTCATAACTTTTGCTTTCAGTGCATGCGTCCAGCTTCTGTCGAAAAGGTGGAGAAGCCGAAGAAACATCAGAATTTTTGTTGTTTCTCCGGCTTCTCCACCTTTGAATGAGAAAAGAAGGATATTTTTGGCGTAAACGTTGATATTCGGGCGCCAGCTGCTCACGTAAGAAAAGAGGAAGGAATTTCTCCATCATCTCACTCTACGAAAAAAAAAACGAATTGCCTAGGGGCAATTATGCCTTGAGGAATCAAGGTCACGGTTCTACTCCGTACTTTACTGCGTAGGAAAAGGAAGGAAGAGTCTAAACGCAAAAAGACAGGAAGGATTATGACCATGAATGAATGTAGGGCTGTCAATTCGATTTGATTAATCGACCGATTATTCGATTACTGGTACGCATCCTGTGTCCTTCTCCCTAGACTACGGCAGTGTTACTCGTTACTCACGTTACTACGGCTCGTTACTCGTGAAATTTAAGTACTTGCAATTACATGTATTCTATCCTAAAAGTAATTAGTTTCCTGTAGAATTACTTCTCACCAAAAGTAACTCGTTACAATTAGAAGTTACTTTTCGAGTTACTTTTCCTGAACAAAAATTCTGAACAGTCAACTGATGATACGATTAGACAGGCCATTCAATCCCGCATCATTTCGTGCCTTTTCAGGACTGAAATGAAGAAACTCATAAAACAAATTTTTTTTTATTACAAACCGTGAGGGCAAAGTCTTGCTCGGCGGTTTTCCCAGTGATTGCGTAGAACCAACCGGGAAAAAGTATTTCCTTTAGGTGCGGAAAAAGCGAAGCTACATTTGCATGTACTGCCAAAAAACTGCAAAAAGTGGAAGCAAACTTTTCCGAGCACATTTTACAGCTATCCAAAAGCCGTTTTCATTCACGAATTTCTCTATACTTGTAAAAACTATTTAAATACTTTTTTAATAACTTTGTTTTTAATTGGGCAACGCCACTACCCAAGCAGCATGTTTACGTAAACAAGATATCAATTCCTTGCAAACAATGTAAATTTCTTGCGATTGCCATGAAAATGACATCACGTTTACGTTAAATTTACGTTCCTATATTTACGTCACCAAAGTGTACGTGCATTTTACATAAACTAGACGTAACTCCATTTGACGGGAAGTACACGATATCAAGTTTATGCAAAATTAACGCCACACCATCCATATGAAACTTGAGCTGACCATCCCACAGTTGCAGTACCAAGATTCCTCACTAGATGGAACCCTTGTTCCCTGCATCCGACAAATACTATTAAGTACTGACTTTCCTGATAGAATATTAGATTTTTTTACCATCCTTCCACTTTTTATTATGCAACCCATGAATATATATATGGAAATCATGAAATTATTATATATATTTGTGTAATATATGACTCAGGGAATCATTAAATGCTGAAGTTAAGCTTTTTATAACAGCAGTGCACAGAATTAGGGAAGAGTAGAATCCCAGCTCTACATTTCTAGGCATCACTTTCCAGAAACACCTCCGTTGGTCCCCCCATGTGCAGTTGCTACGTCAAAAGGCAGTTCGTAAATTGAATTGCCTGAAGTTGATCTCGCGTGTCAACGGTTGTGAGCCCGACGTCATCATGCGCCTGTATAAGGCTTACATCCGTCCTGTTTTAACGTACGGATTTGCGGCCTGGGCCAATGTCTCCGATTCCATCTTGGACACACTTGCACGCATCGAACGAGCTGCGATTAAGTTCGCGTACAGAATTCCAAAAATCATGAAATTATTATATATATTTGTATAATATATGACTCAGGGAATCATTAAATGCTGAAGTTAAGCTTTTTATTACAGCAGTGCACAGAATTAGGGAAGAGTAGAATCCCAGCTCCACAAGTACTAAATCTTTTCTGCCCTAAATGGAAGAGAGCTCCTTGAGCATCCACTCCTCCTCCTGAGGTTCCAGTACGGGAGGAGAAAACGATATGGCGTTTTGGTATTCTTGAGTGCTGATGAGGATGAGTGTATTCATCAAACCATCCTTGAGGTCTGAAGTTTGGAAAGGAATAGGAGATACAGTATATCAATTCTTTACAAAGGAGCTGATTGGCTCGTTAAAGACACATGAATGGTAGAGGGAAATTAACATAAATCTTACGTAAAATCAACGTGAAAATACTGTTAGGAATGCAAACGGGCATGTCAATTTTACGTAAAATTGACGTTAATTTTATATCACCGTTTACGTATCACAGAGGTGACATTCATGCAAACATGTTGGCATTATCTTGACAATGGCTTGCGTAAAAATGATATAAATTGGGAAAAAGTTTACATTCAGTTTACGTAAAATTAACATAAACATGCTGTTTGGACAGAGGTGACATTCATGCAAACATGTTGGCATTATCTTGACAATGGCTTGCGTAAAAATGATATAAAATGGGGAAAAAATTTACATTCAGTTTACGTAAAATTAACATAAACATGCTGTTTGGGTACTAGCATTAAGGAGCATAAAAATATTTATTTGTATCATGTCCTGAAACTAATTCCGTGCAAAATAGCAGCAAATTCTAAAGAATTTCCAATAACCCCTGAGAAGAAGGTTACTGTGCATGCTCAGTGCGATAGCATGCCATGACACATTTCATACCGACAGCAATCGTTTCTGCGGCGACAGAGGCATCAAGAGTGACTTTTGGGCTCTTTGGTAGGCGTACCAACATTGGTACTTCTGGCTTTCGTCACTGATACGCGTGAAATAAATAAATGAATGGCAAATATCAATCCAGTAGACTGTTCACAATCTTGCCGTTTTCATCATGAAATAACTCGCTTGGATTTTGATCATTTTTGCTGCTTCACGGTCTAGTATTCTGGTAAAATTCGCTGAAAAGGTCGAAAACGACTGATATCGTGGAACTCTGAGTTGATCTTCCTAGTGCGAAGAAATTCCATGAGAAAAGTGCCGCTGAGCATTTGGAGGGCTGTGGATCAAGGTTAAGCAGATTAAGCACAAGACAATATTGCCTCGGCGCTGACGAAGGGGTTCACCTTGGTGTAATCCGATCCCAGAAATCCCTGCTCGAGTCCCCCAAAGAAGACGAGGAAGGAGATGAGGGCCTGGCGAGGCGTCTTCAGCTGGCGAAGTGTGGCCAGGGCGAACTGCATCCCTCCGTCGGCCCCGCTCGACTCCTCCCGCCGTCCTCCTAGTCTGAACGGATGACGCGACGCGCGGGATGCGCCCGGTTCAGTGCAGGTGGACGGCAAGCGGAGGTCCCAGCGAGAGGACAATTGGAGGTCGGATCGGGAACCTGTGCAAGGGATCGAGGAAGAAGGCGACGAGACCCGACGAGAGGCACGCCACGGCCACCAGCGTCCCCGAGAGGATCTGGATCGCCTTCTCGTCCGGTCGCTCCAGGTTCTCGTTCTCTTCGATTGCCGACTCGCAGAAGTTCACTCCGCACATTTCTTCCACGTTTCTCGTCGTGTTTCTGCCTCCGGAGCTTCCGATTCCCAAAACTGACAATAAATCGTTTTAACTTTTAATTTTTTCTTGGAGTACCAATTTCAGTAAAGACTTGATTTATTTATTTATTTATTATTTATAATTCACTCGTCTCCAAGTGGACAAGAAAATTCTTTTACATGGTCATCTAATTATCTCTTGGTCATGCGCGACAAAATCGAATAAGACTGTTCTCATGGTGGAAAATCCATTCCCTTCCTGTGCGTTCAACGTTGCATTGCAAAATATTGCAATGCAATAGCAAGTGCTTGAAGCAAACTCTCGCATGGAAAAACTCATCGCGGTATGGTACAGAACTAAATACGAATGACAAATTTACAGATTTCGAGCGAACACTACCCACAACCCGAATTGTTTTCTGGACTCACCAGTGGACGAAACGAGGTTGCCGAAGATGCCGGCTCCCTGAAAGAGCATGAAGAAAACCCCGAAGAACCTCATGATGACGGCCTGCCGCTCCTGCCCCGTGACCTCGGCGTACGCGTCCCCGGCGACCGTGAGGTACGTGCACTTGGCGGACCAGAGCGGCGCGGCCGCCAGGCCCACTGCCGCGGCCGACGGGAGCAGCGTCCAGGCCGTGGGCTCGAACTGCGCCGCGATGAACCCGAGATAGACGACGGAGCAGGCGAAGATGGTCCACTTCGCGGTCAGCCGCTCGATCGCGAACGTCGTGAGGAAGAGCGAGGAGAAGACGAGGAAGCCGTAGACCGTCACGAGCGACGCCGTCCCCAGCCCGTGCCGCGCGTTGATGCTGCTCTGGAGGTTCGACACCGTGCTGAAACTCAGGAAGAGGAGGAGGAAGGACGTGCTCACCACCAGCACGTTCTTCCAGATGACTCGTTTCTTCCTCCTGATGACGTCATCGTCGGTGCCGGTCTCGACCGTCATGACCGTCGCGACCGTCGCTGCTGTGTGACACTGATGTGTGATCCGAAGCACCGAGAACGAAGAGAGCCGAAAGGAAACTGAAGATAACCAAAAGTGTAAATGGAGGTCAGACCCTCTCGAAACGGATAAGGAAATTGCCTCCCCGCTCACGTCCGGATCGGCTCCGACCTCCTCCGCGCAATTCCTTTCCGCTCGCGGCGGACGGCTCACGCCCCGAGGCGGACGGCTCACGCACCGAGGCTTTTCCTCGCCGCCGTTTGGTGACATGGGATGGGGATTTCATGCATCGATCTTCTTTTTTTAACTGGGGAATTTTTATAGTATGAAGATAAAGGCAAATTATGACAGCCGACTGGTCTATTTCCTACTGATTACATATTTTATCTATATAGGGTGTTAAAAATAAAAAATTATAATAAAAAGTCCTACCGAGAAACACAGTGTCATAAATGCAGCAAAAAAGCTACATTGTTTACGCGATCGACATTTTACAGTTACAAGGTGTTTAAATGCTTGCCATCTTTTTTTCAGCACCCCTGCCTAAGTCGTGCAATGCCCATTTAGAGGTGAATTAAAGGTGCTTAGAGGTGGATCTTTCCACCTCAGGTGAGGTGGATCTTTCCACCTCAGGTGAGGTGGAACGACCTGTGCTCGACAGTCTCAGGATTCAACGAACCTTAACATTTCAAAGCGTAAAAAAAAGCGTGATGATCCACCTGTAAACTGTGTAACGGAAGTCATTTTTTTATAAATCACCCTCCGTCATCCGGTCAACAAGAGCGGCCTCTATCGGGATGCAGCGCCATCTGGCGGAAGTGAGAAAAGAAACCTCTCTGCCAAGCTGGATCCAACTGTCCCTTGAAACGTTGAAAAGTTCGCCGAATCCGAGACGGTCGAGCACGAGTCATCACCTCACTTGAGGCGGAAGGATCCACCTCACTTGAGGCGGAAGGATCCGCCTCTTGGCACCTTTAATTCCTCACAAAATGAAACTGTGTTTCTCCCATAGAAAACTGTAGAGCGTTTTTTTTTAAATCACCCTATATATACTTTTTAATTTGCACTTAGGCGTCGAATTGCATCTTTGAAGCAATTTTGAGTTCTTTCTGTATCACTGCACACTGTTCGAAATGTTCGAAATGAGAAGCATAAGTGATATTTGAATGGTGAAATGCCGGCATTGCGGTATTTATCCGCGGTAAAGACAAGTTTGCGGCAATGTTAAGACATTTCCTTTCGAGCGGAAAGGCAAAAAAAAAAACCAAAAAGTTGTTTTAAAATATTTATTGGAAAAATAAAATCGGGGGGACCTGGTCATCTGATTCCTCGTCGCAATTGACAATGGACATGCTAGACTCCCAAATCATATAAAGATTTTACAATTTATAAAGATCGCCAGAAGGTGAAGGCATGTCAAGAAAAGATTCCTCCAATGGATTGCCTCCTGAACGGACAAGAAACGGACTTGGAAGGCATTGGATTGTGCCTACTTATCAATTGTGCTCGTAGCGGCCTTCAGGGGATTTTCCTCGACTTTCGTTTCTCGAGAGCTTTTTGCCTCGATGTATTCCAAAATGAAGTAGGCGATCATGCCAAGAACGAGGAAGGCGACGAGGAGGCTGAGTTTGTACACTGTGCAGAGTCGACTGCTGATGAAAAACGCGACGACGAAGCCGAGACTTTCCGTCACTTTGTAGGCGCTGAATGCTTCTTTCTCCTTCCCTTTCGACAACACGCCCAAGAGCCCTGTTAGAGATCGCACGACCCGATGGAATTCTGCTTCGAGCGTTGCTTCACAAAGCGGAATGCGGATGGAGCGACTCACCGTTGACCTGAGCCTGCCAGACGGCATCGCAGATGCCCCAAGCACCGGCGACGACGAAGAACGCCCAAGCATGGTCGGGCGAAGGATGCCAGAAGAACAAGGCGAGCAGCGTGGATGCATGAAGGAGGCCTGCGAAGATGAAGATGTACAGCCGGTCCACGTATTTCACCAGCCAGCCGGAGAGGAAGGAGCAGCTGGAATTGGCTGCGTGGAAGCAGGCCATCATGTATCCGATGTACCTGATTCCCCATGCGCATCCCACGAAATCCTGCCGTTCCGAAAACATAGATACCAGCAATTGATGAACAATCGAACATTCAAATTAGGGCTGTCAATAGATTAACAAATTTTATTTATTAATCGGTCGATTAATCGAATTTTAATCATGATTGGGAATGATACTATTTGTGTCATGCCCAACATCAAGGCGATGCAGTCGCTAACATACAGTAGCAGTCATTATCCATACATACACTAGTTCACCCTACATGTGAAACATTCCAATCTGAAAGAAAATAGTTACAATTTGGGCAGGTAAATAATGAAAAGTAAGCAAAGAAGCGCACTGAGGCCCTTTTGCCATTCAGCCATCCCATTACGGAAGGATACAAAAATGTCACCTAAATCATTGGACGTATTCAGTGAAACTTCATTAGGCGAAGATTTAATGATTCATTAACGGCAGCACAGGATAGAAGAGCAAATATAAGAGGAATTGGAGAGGGTTTCACACTTTCGTTTCTCAATTCTGCCGCCTGGCCCCGGCTTTCTTCCTCTCGGTTACTCTCCGGGGACTCCCACAGACCTTGTATGATACATTTCTTTCGCTCCCCTGTCTTTACATTATCCGCTTTACTGTGTCTCCTGTCCCATGTTCCTGCCCAATTCCCATTCATACTTCTGTGCTTTCCCTTCATCACGACTTTCTTTTCCCCATTCGCATCCAGTCACTTTTCGGTCGGTTTTCCTAAAGCCGCTGCTACATTAGTTTGACGGCAGTGTCGGGCGGTAACGAAGTAAGAGTAACGGGTTACAGTAACTGATTACTTCTTTCAGTAACTTTTTTGGTGACGAGTTACTTTTCAGGGGAAATAACGTAACTGGAAACTAGTTCCTTTTTCATAGGAAAAGTATGTGGTGTTATTGCAACGCGTTTCCTTTTCTTGATTTCAACCAAATTAGTTAATTTTGTTGCATCCTAATCCTAATTGATGCATTCCAATTGATGCAAAATTGGGAGGAAAGGCGGGGACATGAAATTACCTTGAGAAACCATGGTTTTCAGAGCAGGTTTCTTGGCCCTACCTGCAAAAATATTTTTACGTGCAAGAGGTTAGGAACGAAGTCAAGAGTTCCATCGATGCAATGGCGTATTTATGGGGGGGGGG